GGTGGCTCACACCTGTAATCCTAACAGTTTGGGAGGCCAAGGCAGGCAGATCACTTGAGCTCAGGAGTTAGAGACCAGCCTGGGCAACATGGCAAAAACCCATCTGTACAAAAAGTTTTTAAAAATAAATAAATAAGGCCGGGCGCGGTGGCTCATGCCTATAATCCCAGCACTTTGGGAGGCCGAGGCAGGCAGATCATCTGAGGCCAGGAGTTCAAAACCAGCCTGGCCAACATGATGAAATCTCATCTCTACTAAAAATACAAAAATTAGCTGGGCATGGTGGCGCATGCCTGTAATCCCAGCTACTTGGGAGCCTGAGGCAGGAGAATCGCTTAAACCCAGGAGGTGGAGGTTGCTGTGAGCCGAGACTACATCACTATACTCTAGCCTGGGTAACAAGAGTGAAAATGCCTCTTAGAATAAATAAATAAATAAATAAATAAATAGCCAGACACAGTAGCACACACCTGTAGTCCCAGCTACTCGGGAGACTAAGGTGGGAGGATTGTTTGAGCCCAGGTTGTTCAGGACGTCAGTGAGATATGATGGTGCCACTGTACTCCAGACTGGGCAACAGCGAGACCCTGTCTCAAAAAAAAAAGATGAATTTAAAACAAATGTTTAAGTCTTGCAAAGGGATCATTGAGGCATGCTTAAATTAGCAGGTGAAAATTTGATGGAAAACAATGTATTTGCATAGTCTCAAGTATGTGAAGTATTCCCACAAGACATTTAACAAAAGGGGGAATATTGTAGTTTTACAGCCGAGAAACTTGGCAGACACAATCCTGTAATCCAAGTTAATACCAGTGATAGGACAAATTACTGTATCTCCTGATGCAATACACTGAGAAGGATACAGTATTACCTCTGTTGTATTCCCGCCCCCAAAAGGATAACTTGAATCTAATCCTGAAGACATTTTAGACATACCAAGTTGAGAGACATTCTTCAAAATTAACTGGCCTAAATCAAACAAGCCAAAATCATGAAAGAAAAAGAGAGAAACTCTTCCCATCCAAGTACTAACCAGGCCCGACCCTGCTTAGCTTCCAAGATCGGACGAGATCAGGCACGTTCAGGGTGGTATGGCTGTAGATGAGTGGAACTGTTCCACGCCTCAGAAGATGACAGAGACATGACAACTAAATGCAATGTGTTCTCCTGCCCCAGAGAAAGGAGAAAAAAAAAAAAAAACTTTTCTTTCTTTTTTTTTTTGGTTATAAATCAGTGCTTCCCAAAGCGTGGTCCAGGGACCCTAGGAGATTCAGAAAACCTGTCAGTAGGTATATGAAGTCAAAAGGATTTCATTTTATTTATTTATGTTTTGAGACAGGATCTTACTCCATCACCCAGGCTGGAGTGTGGTGGTGCCATCACGGCTCACTGCAGCCTCAACCTTCCAGGCTCAAGTGATTCTCCCACCTCAGCCTCCTGGGTAGCTGAGATTACCGGCACATACCTCCATGCCCAGCTAAGTTTTTGTATTTTTTTTATAGAGATGGAGTTTAGCCATGTTGCCCAGGCTGGTCTTGAACTCCCGGGCTCAAGCAATCCTCTTGCCTCAGCCTCCCAAAATGCTAGGATTACTAGTGTGAGCCACTGAGGCTGGCCAAAACTATTTTAGTACATAACTATTTTAATAATAATATTTAGATGTTCTTTGGCAAGACTATAAAAGGATTCTGAAACAAAGAAGGTGAAAACCACTGCTTTGATAACCAGGTGTGGTGGCTCCTGCCTGTAATTCCAGCTAGTGGAGAGGCTGAGGCGGGAGGATTGCTTGAGGCCAGGAGTTTGAGACCAGCGTGGGCAGCAGAGCAAGACCCCCGTCTCTAATGGCAACAGAGTGACAACCTGTCTCTAAAAACATTAATTGGATGATTGGCAAAATTAGAATAAAGTTTAGAGATTTTAAAATAGTACTATATTTGAAAATAATGCTGGGCGCAGTGGCTCACGCCTGTAATCCCAGCACTTTGGAAGGCCAAGGCTTATGGATCACTTGAGGTCAGGAGCTTGAGACCAGCCTGGCCAACATGGTGAAACCCCATCTCTACTAAAAATACAAAAAAAGTTGCAAGGCATGGTGGCAGGGGCCAGTAATCCCAGCTACTCAGGAGGTTGAGTCATGAGAATCGCTAAAACCTGGGAGGTAGAGGTTGGAGTGGGCTGAGATCAGGTCACTGTACTCCAGCCTGGGCGACAGAGTGAGACTCCATCTCAAAAAAAAAAAAAAAAAAGAAGAAGAAGAAGAAGAAAAGAATATGGGCCAGGCACAGTGGCTTACACCTGTAGAGTCTCACTCTGTCATCCAGGCTGGAGGGCAGTGGTGTGATCTCGGCTCACTGAAACCTCCACCTCCCATGTTCAAGTGATTCTCTTGCCTCAGCCTCCCAAGTAGCTGAGATTACAGGCGCACGCCACCATGCCCAGCTAATTTTTTTTTGTATTTTTTAGTAGAGACACGGTTCCACTGTGTTGGCCAGGCTGGTCTCAAACCCCTGGCCTCAAGTGATCTGCCCACCTCAGCCTCCCAAACTGCTGGGATTACAGGTGTGAGCCGCCATACCTGGCAGAACACTTTAAAAAATACATACAATTTAATTTTTAACATTTGAGACAGGGTCTCACTCTGTCACCAAGGCTGGAGTGCAGTGGCGTGATCACAGCTCACTGCAGCCTGAATTCCTGAACACAAACAATCCTCTCACCTCAGCCTCCTGAGTAGCTGGGACTACAGAGTCAGGCCACCATGCCCAACTTATTATTAATATTTTCCGGAGATGGGGTTCTCACTGTGTGGGGTCTCACAGTTGGTTTTGAACTCCTGGCCTCAAGTGTTGGCCTCCCAGAATGCTGGGATTACAGATGTGAGCCACTGCATCCAGCCTGGATGAACAAATTAAACCCAAACCCTGATGTTATAGTTCTTAACTCCTTGACCTGGTAGTATCTGCATCCTAATCTTTTCCAGCAGATGTTCACCAAATCACCTATATTTCTGCAGGGCCCCTCATCTGCCCTCCTCCAAGGACCTTCTTGGCAAGACACAAACCTCACAAATCCTATAAACTGGAACAGTAGGTCTCAAGAGCATAGTCCTGACACCTCAAGGTCTTTGTATTTCTGATTTCTTCTATGGATGACTCTTCCTAAGGATATTCATATGGCCCCCTCCATCATTTCATTCTGGTTTCCTAACAACGATTCCTAAGGGAGGCCTTTCCTACCACATGTTCTCAGATGGTTCCCTACCCATTTCCTCCCACTGCTTCCTATATACCCTTGCCCTGCTATAGTTTTCTCTATGGACCTTATTAACATCTGACTGGCACGTTACATATTTATTTTTTAAATACTGATTTTTTTGTTTGTTTGTTTTTTTGAGACTTGTTCTGTCACCCAGGTTGGAGTGCAATGGTGCGATCTCGGCTCACTGCAACCTCTGTCTCCCGGGGTCAAGTGATTCTCCTGCCTCAGCCTCCTGAGTAGCTGGGATTACAGGTGCCCGCCACCATGCCCAGCTAATTTTTGTATTTCTAGGAGAGACGGGGTTTCACCAGGTTGGCCAGGCTGGTCTCGAACTCCTGACCTCAGGTGAACTGCCTACCTCAGCCTCCCAGAGTGCTGGGATTACATGTGTGAGCCACCACACTCAGCCCAAGATACTGATTCTTTAAGTGATTGCTGCATGTCTCCCCTGAATGGAATCCCAACTCCAAGAACAGTGTCTGCTGGCACAGGTAGCACTTATGTGTTTGTTGAACTCCAGTGGTTGACCAGGAGCCTTTTCAATAGTCTTTAATCTAGGGTGACAGATGAGCCTCTGGGCATTCTAGGGCCCTTTGGGACAGTTCTCGGCAACTGTTCACACAGCACATGGAGGGCTTCAACCGATCCAGGGTCTGAATCAGCCAAGAACTTAGACACGGCTTCAGCCCAGGAGAGATGTCCTCTCTCATGAACGAAGAGCTCTCTAAAATGCCTATGACTGCAACAACAACAACAAGGAGTCCTTGATCACACAGCAGGAGGCATACGCGCCCTGTGAACTCGGTGGCTGCAATCCTTGTGATGGTGCTTTTGGCTATTTCAGAAGAGGGAAATGTAAACAAACCTGCCCTTTATCTCCGTTAGTTTGAATTTACCCAATATCCCTCATAACTAATAAAAATAACAATACACATAAATATAATTTAGTTTGTTTTTATTTCAGCAGTTGTACGTGGGTTTTTTACCTGCCCCACATTCTGTCTCCCGATCCCCCAATAGAGTTTTGCTAAGTATTTCTCAGCTGCTCACACCCCTTAGAAACACACTTGGCATGCACCCCCAGGCCCTGCTCTTCTGTCCCTGTCCCACCACTTCAGGGCTGCTGGGGAATGGGTCTCTCTGTGGGCCACAGGTATAACCACTGTATTTTCCTTGTCTGCACCAGGGACACCTTGGCGCTCAGATGTCTGAAGGTAGCAGCTTGTCCCTCTTCGCCTCCTCTAATTAGGTATTTCTCTCTCTCTCTCTCTCTCTCTCTCTCTCTCTCTCTCTCTCTCTCTTTGTCCATAAAGACAACTATGAGAGAGGGAATTACAGGTAGAGGGCTAGAAGTTTTTGGACATTAGCTATTTCTATCTTCTGATATGGTTAACTAGAAAGAAAAAATCCTGCAGACAAATTTCTCCTCAGTCAGGTATTTCCTAACCAAGTTTGAGGGGATGAACATGCTCTCCTTTTCCTTTTCCATAAAGCTGAGGAGGAGAGTGAGGGAGTGTGGGCAAGAGAGGTGGCTCAGGCTTTCCCTGGGCCTGACTGAACTTTGAAACTTCTCTACTAATTAAACAACACTGGGCTCTACACTTTGCTTAACCCTGGGAACTGGTCATCAGCCTTTGACCTCAGTTCCCCCTCCTGACCAGCTCCCTGATGCACCCTGGCCTCTGAAACCTCTGTGAGATTAAGAGGAAAGAACCAGTTTTCAGACAGATTGCCTCAGACCAACCATCTCCACTTGCCCAGCCCTGTGGAAGATTAGCGACCATGTATTCCAATGTGATAGGAACCGTAGCCTCTGGAAAAAGGTAAGAGGGGTGAGCTTTCCCCTTGGCTGCCCTCACTGGGTTTTCCAACCTCCAAAGGACTCACAGGAATGACCTCTAACACCTTTGAGAAGAACAGGCCCTCTCCCTGGTAGTTACAGTCAAAGACCTGTTTGGAAGACGTCATTTCAAGCGCCCTCCCTCCCACCCCCCTCTTGGGGTAAGGCCTTTCCTAAGCCACACCTTGGGTCCCTAGCCTAAGAAACAAGGGGGATGTCATCCCTGGTGTAAAGATGCTGTGCAGGACGCCAGCACTCACAGAATCCAGGGAATGCTACAAGGGGAATCCCCAGGGCCTGCCGTAAGAGAGCAAATCTAGGAAGAGAGCAAATGTTACCCACGAGGACCTCCTCACTCCCTTTTTGCTCCTTCTTCCACTCAGATCCACTCCACTCTGCCCCCACCCAAGATCCCAGTGACCTTTGATTAAAGGGCCGAAACTGCTTCCTTTTCTCACAGTGAGAGCTGTCCCTCCCTCAATGCCACACACACTCCCTTCTTCATCTGAGTTGTCATAGGAGGCTAGAAATGGGGTGGTGGCACAACTGTCTTGGTTTTAATTTGTGCTTCATAGCCCTCCCAGGGTCCGCTCAGCCTCGAATTGTATTTCCAAATGTCGCTGAAGGACAGAGTGGGCAACCGAAGGCAGTGGAGATGGGAAGATGAATGGCAGGGTCCTCTCCTCTCTCTCTCTCTCTGCTACTTCAGCCTGCCTTCCACATCTCCCTTGGTGCCTCTGCTTCTTTCCCGCTTTGCACCTCTGTTCTTGAAAGGGCTGCAGAACTGGACTGAGACCACGTAAGAAGGCAAGTACCCCTCAGCTGCCCCAGCTTCCAGCCAGTCCCACGCTTGCCCAGCAGACCACATCTGTGAATCTGCACTGGGCGCCTCTCTTTCTCTCCCAGGAGAAGATGGGAAGATCCAGTACCCACAGACGGACTCCCTTCTGTACACCCAGGGACCCTAAACCAGTTGGAGGCAGCCCACCCTTGTCTTATCTACAAAAAATATGACAAGAGACTTTATCTCTTGATTTGCTTCACCCAGTGTCCCAACTACCTCATTTTTTAAAAATGTGAAATTAACTTAGTTTACCTTCATTGAATCCATGTTGGAGACTATTAAAACTTCCAGGCAATAAAAAAGGATGAGAGCCTGAACTAAAGCAGTGGCAGTAACTGGTGAAACAGTAAAAAAACAGAACTGATTGACTTTGGGGTTTGACTAAATGAGGAGGAGAGAGAGAGGAATCCAGGGTGATTCTCGGCTTTCTGTACTGAATTCACTGAGCCCATTCACTGAGCTGGAGGACACGAGGAGCAGGCACCTCGGGGAGAATTAATTACCAGGTCACTTTGTCCCTGGTTCCCTAAAGAACTTGTGGGAGTTTCTGGTGGAATTGTCCAGCAAATAGTCAGTCTGGAGCTCAGTGGAAGGGTTAGGGCTGGAGCTAGATATGTGGGAATCTTCAGCACACAGATGTTGCCATTGTTTTGTTGTTGCTGTTGTTGTTGTTTTGAGACAGAGTCTCACTTTGCCCACCAGGTTGGAGTGCAGTGGTGCAATCTCAGCTCACTGCAACCTTCGCCTCCTGGGTTCAAGCAATTCTCCTGCCTCAGTCTCCCCAGTAGCTTGGGACTACAGGTGTGCACCACCACACCCAGCTAAGTTTTGTATTTTTAGTAGAGATAGGGTTTCACCATGTTGTTCAGGCTGATCTTGAACACCTAACCTCAAGTGATCTGCCTGCCTCAGCCTCCCAAAGTGCTGGGATTACAGGAGTGAGCCACCGCGCCTGGCCAGATATTGCCTTTGCTCCATCCGTTTCTTTTTTCCTCTCTTGTGTTGCTGAAATCTCTCTGTTGCATCTATCAGAGCCCTTCCCCAAACAGTTTCTGTCGGTGGCACCCCCTACTGCCCTGACTCTTCACTGGGCACTAAAGTTCCCAGCCAATTTTTTAGGCACGTGTGTTCCATGTCACAAACAGGAAGCTTCGCATTCTTTTTCTCCCAGCATGGGGAAATTGAGCACATAATAATACTTCAAATAACTGTCAGTTGATTCTAATTCCAACATGACCATGTCCAGGCAACTGAACTATCCCCTGGCAAGAAGTCTAGGACTGAACCTGTTCTAGGTTCAGTCTGGGCCCTTGTACTTGGTTCAAAGACTTTAGCCCTTCTCTTGGCCATACCAGGTAGGCTGGAATCCTCTGCTTTACTGAGGCAACCCTGTGGTGGGCAGTGGGGCTAGGGGTTGCAGCCTAGCTTAACTCGGCATTTTGCCCCCTTGCAGGAAGGTTTATCTTCTGTCCTTGCTGCTCATTGGCCTCTGGGACTGTATGACCTGTCACGGGAGCCCTGTGGACATCTGCACAGCCAAGCCGCGGGACATTCCCATGAATCCCATGTGCATTTACCGCTCCCCGGAGAAGAAGGCAACTGAGGATGAGGGCTCAGAACAGAAGATCCCCGAGGCCACCAACCGGCGCGTCTGGGAACTGTCCAAGGCCAATTCCCGCTTTGCTACCACTTTCTATCAGCACCTGGCAGATTCCAAGAACGACAAGGATAACATTTTCCTGTCACCCCTGAGTGTCTCCACGGCTTTTGCTATGACCAAGCTGGGTGCCTGTAATGACACCCTCAAGCAACTGATGGAGGTACGACCCAAAGGTCTTCTGCCCAGCCACCTTGCTAGGAGCACCTTTGGGGCTTGCATAGGTCCAAGTCCAGTGACTTCTCAACCAACACTGCAGGCCACTAAGGGCGCTCTTTATGCATTACGATTCCTTTTGAGTCACTACTTCATGTGTTATAATTCCCTTTGAAAACCATTTTTTAAAAAATTAGCCAAGGAATTACGACCTGGATATCTGCTTTTTAAATCCTGGTTTCCTCTTTTGAGCGACCTTACAATGGGGGAGGGCTTCTATCTCTTTCAACTTCTCTCTTTAGTAATTTTTTCATCTATATGTTTGCTCATTAATTTGATCATTTATTTATTCATTCATTCAGCACTTCCTCTGTGCTGGGCAATGTGTTGTGCCAGTCCCTCCTCCGGCAGAAGAAGGGGAGCTTTACCATCTGGTGACATCCGGCATATGGGCTTTTGTGGAAAAAAATTCTAGGATATTATTATGAGTATTATTATTTTTTTGAGATGGAGTCTCACTCTATTGCCCAGGCTGGAGTGCAGTGGTGCAGTCTCGACTTACTGCAACCTCCGCCTCCCAGATTCAAGCAATTCTCCCACCTCAGCCTCCTGAGTAGCTGGGATTACAGGCACACGCCACCACGCCCAGCTAATTTTTGTATTTTTAGTAGAGATGGGGTTTCACCATGTTGGCCAGGCTGGTCTCAAACTCTTTTTTTTTTTTTTTTTTTTTTTTGAGACGGAGTCTCGCTTTGTCACCCAGGCTGGGGTGCAGTGGCGCAATCTCGGCTCACTGCAGCCTTCACCTCACAGGTTCAAGCAATTCTCTGCCTTAGCCACCTGAGTATCTGGGATTATAGGCGCCCAGCACCATTTTGTATTTTTAGTAGAGACAGGGTTTCACCATGTTGGCCAGGCTGGTCTTGAACTCCTGACCTCGTGATTCATCCGCCTCGGCCTCCCAAAGTGCTGAGATTATGGGCATGGGCCACTGCGCCTGGCCTCAAACTCTTGACTTCAAGTGATCTGCCCGCTTTGGCTTCCCAAAGTGCTGGGGTTACAGGTGGGAGCCACCACACCCAGCCTAGGATGGTATATTGAGACCAGGGGCCCAGGAAAGCCAAGAGAAGCCTCAAGGACGTGAGAGTGTTTTCTGGCTCTGGGAAGTATGGATCATTTCAGCTCAGTGACTTAGTTCCCACCCCCTTTCCCCCACTGCCTTTTCTGGGAGGGAAGTAGGGCTTGATAAGATGAAGCGTCATGGATTGATTGATCACTATTGGCCTCTGGGGCTATGATAAGTCATGGATGGAAACCCTAGATCTTTAATCTGTCCTTGGCTTGGCTGCCTGACAGTCTTTCTTCAGGTTGGATCACACTTTGGAAGCAGAGTTCATCAATAGGGAGGCATGAGTCCCTTCAAGATGGTATATGGTGCTTATTTGGACCTTGGACACTAAAGTCTGTGGGTCTTAGAAGGGTTCCTTCTATTCTAGTGGTCAGTTTCCATGGAACTTCATCACCTTTGCTCAGGGCTCTGGGATGAGTTAACCCAAGTCTTCACTCTCCGAAAGAAACTGTAGGTTTAAAAACCCTTAAGACACTTAGTACTGCCTTCTCTGGGCCCTTCAGTCATTTTTGTATACATTGGTACTGGTCTCAAAGCCCTTCCATATCCCTCATGTCTCTGTCCCCAAGTAAGATCTTAAATGTAGCCCTTCCTACAAGAAGAGCAGAACACTGCTTCCAAACCACGCATATTCCTTGGGTCCTCCCCTCTACACAAACGCCATGTGTTCGAAAGCAGGGTGAGACTGAATCTCTCTGGAGAAAAGAGAAATTCAGCACCAAGCTTTTGATCAAAAGTATAACCCCCCCCCAAAAAAAAAGTGCCTGTTGGAACAAAATCAGGAAAACCAAAGGCAGAGAACAGATAACACCAAAAGGCCTTTTGTAGCCTGAGGAGAGAGCACGGGAAGGGCAGGAGGGGAACAGCCTCACCCATTTGCCTTGGGGATGGTGAAGGTGGGCACTGGGGGATTCCATCTTCAAAGCATGGATGACTTCTAAGTCGTTTTCAACCCTGAGACTCTTGGATTCTGGGCCTGTTTAATCCCTTGCTGATAGATTCACTCTTCCTTTTTCACGCCTACCACCAGTATCCCAGAGCCTCCATGAGCAGCTGGCCCCAAGAGATGCCACAAAAGTGTTTGCTACAAGAAAGGACACTGTCCTGATTCTCTTCTCTGTCCAGAATCACCAAGAGGACTTTTCCCATTCCAGCAAGAAAACATCTGTGTGTTGATCTAGAGCCCTTTAGAGACTTTAGGTGGTGACCTAGTCTCTCTTTTTCCCTTTATCCTTCCTACCCTTCATTCTTCTTTTATCCCTTTATTCATCAGAACGCAAGGGTTGAGCATTTATGCTGTCCCAGGTACTGTGCTTGAAGGAGTTCACAACTGAGGTGGCTATTAGTCAGAGACTGACCAGTCTATGCTCAACACCCATGTTAGCCAGGCTGCCCACCAAACCCACCACCATTTTTTTTGACTTCTGTAGGTATTTAAGTTTGACACCATATCTGAGAAAACATCTGATCAGATCCACTTCTTCTTTGCCAAACTGAACTGCCGACTCTATCGAAAAGCCAACAAATCCTCCAAGTTAGTATCAGCCAATCGCCTTTTTGGAGACAAATCCCTTACCTTCAATGAGACCTACCAGGACATCAGTGAGTTGGTATACGGAGCCAAGCTCCAGCCCCTGGACTTCAAGGTGAGTTGCAGATGTTACCCCTGACCTCTGAGTTCTTCCTCTCCACTCAGAGATTGAGGAGGGGGAGAAACAGCACCCAAATTCACACTGCTTTGCTGCTGAAGACTGTCGGAGGGCTGGCTACAAGTCAGCACCCCAGGAATAGTTATTCTTACTGAAAACCTGAGAAATCAATGGTATCCATGCTTAGATTGTAGTGACTGCCCAGGAAAACGTGAATAAATAATCAATTCTTCATTCCATCCACCAACTTCAAATATATACCAAAGGGTGTTTTGAAGGTGCCAGTCCTACAAGATATCTTACTTAATTTGAACAGTTATCACGGTCAAATAAAGTTGGTACATGATGCATGTCATATTCTCCTTTTGGAGATTCATGAAGAACACGGGCCTATGAAGTTTCAGAGAAACTCCGCAACAAAGAAATCTGTTGGCGTTATTCAATCAGCATTCCTCAAATGTATTTGACTGCATGGCCATTTCTCTCCTCCATATAACCTGCCAACCCCATATAACCTGCAATCATTCATTGCTTTCCCTGGAACATGCCTTGGAAACTCTACTTTTGTGAGTTCAGGTTTTCCAAAGTCAGAGAAAATAATATTTTATCTTATTTTTCCCAGACTGTTTTCATCTTCCTTCTTTTCCTTGATTTCTTCCTATTTCTTTTTGTTCTTTTTCTTCTGATAATATTTATTAACTACAGGAAAGATTCATGGAACTACATTAGATATGTGAGGTTTCCCCAATTTGGATTAGAGCGATGGCTTCTTAATCAAATTGTGGGAAAGGGCAGAGGGATGGTGAGAAAAATAAAACGCGGCCTGGGAAAATGGGGAAGCCAATCGAATAGCACAGGTGAGTAGGTTTATTTCCTGTTCTCCTCAGGAAAATGCAGAGCAATCCAGAGCGGCCATCAACAAATGGGTGTCCAATAAGACCGAAGGCCGAATCACCGATGTCATTCCCCCGGAAGCCATCAACGAGCTCACTGTTCTGGTGCTGGTTAACACCATTTACTTCAAGGTACTCAGAATGACCCTGGGGAGACCCCGGGGACCTCCTCTTGCTCTTCAGCTTACACCCCCCCTTTTTTTATTTTTTTTTTTGAAACACGCATCTGGGCTCAGTGCAAGCTCCGCCTCCCGGGTTCCCGCCATTCTCCTGCCTCAGCCTCCCGAGTAGCTGGGACTACAGGCGCCCGCCACCGCGCCCGGCTAGTTTTTTGTATTTTTAGTAGAGAGGGTGTTTCACCGTGTCAGCCAGGATGGTCTCGATCTTCTGACCTTGTGATCCGCCCGCCTCGGCCTCCCAAAGTGCTGGGATTACAGGCTTGAGCCACCGCGCCTGCCCCCGCTCCCACCTTTTTTTTTTTTTTTTTTTAAACGGTGAGACGGAAGCCCTGAGAGGGCAAATGGACTGCCTGAAGCTACACAGGTCAGCAGGGCAGGTCAATCTAAATGGGTAAAAAAAGCCTAAGGACTACATGAACAGATTCCGACAGTAGAAGGCAGAGAGCTGAACCAACTTCTCCAAAGCGCCTGCTTCTGCCTCCTTGTCCCTGCCTTATTTCCTCGTCGCCTCCATTTATTTTATTTTATTTTATTTTATTTATTGTTTAAATACGGAACCCCACTCTGTCACCCAGGCTGGAGTGCACGGGCACAATCACAGCTCACTGCAGCCTTGACCTTCCAGTGATCCCAGCCATCCCAACGATCCTCCCACCTTGGCCTACCGACAGGTGCATGCCATCATAGGAGGTGAAGTTTTTTATTTTTTTGTATGCCACAGCCCAGGCTGGTTTTGAACTCATGGGCTCAAGCAATCCTTCTGCCGTAGCCTCCCAAAGTGCTGGGATTACAGGCATGAACCACCACATGCGGCCAGCTCACCCTCTTTAACACTACTGGGCATGTGTAGGTAGATCCTTTCTGAGAAATGGTCCATGCATAGTCTGGGCAGACATAAACATTTGCTGAGAGCCCAGAACCGTTTGAACCATGGCTGCTGGGCTACCGTCCAGGGAGGTGTGGTAGTGTCCCCAGGCTGATGGCAGAGTGGGCATGCAAACAAACCCATCATGTCCCACTGCAAGGTGTGCACAGTGACAAACTCTTATATATATGTGATTCTGCTGTCCACTTAACTCCATTTTGAAAACTGGAATGAAATGACAGAGTCAATGTGTTCACAATCTTCAGCCCTGCAATTTTTTTCCCATCACCTGGAGCAGCTTCTACAATGAGTCAAAGTTCCCTTTGCCTAAATTTTAGTTTTTAAAATTTATTTTTATATATTTTATCTTTTGTTTTTTGTTTTGAGACAGAGTCTCGCTCTTGTCGCCCAGGCTGGAGTGCAATGGTGCAATCGGCTCACTGCAACCTCCGCCTCCCAGGTTCAAGCAATTCTCCTGCCTCAGCCTCCCAAGTAGCTGGGATTACAGGCGCACACCACCATGCCCAGCTAATTTTTGTATTTTTAGTAGAGATGGGGTTTCACCATGTTGGCCAGGCTAGTCTCGAACTTCTGACCTCAGATGATCAGCCTGCCTCGGCCTCCCAAAGTGCTGGGATTACAGGCGTGAACCACTATGCCTGGCCTATTTTATCTTTTTAAAAAATGTTTTCTTTCCTGTAAAATCCAGTTTTAGCTTAAATCTTCTGAGCTTCTAGGTGACAGGCTCACCTCAGACTTAGGGGAGGTGCTATTATTTACCGATGCAGAAGGCCTTGTTTTCCTCAGAGTAATGTTCTGAAGACTGTGTCAACTTGATTACATTTGGGAAGGAAAAGGAAGAGGGGAGTGGGAATAAGCAGACCGCTGACACTCAGGAGACCACCAGTTTAAGGTGGGTAGAATTGTGGCATATTTTGCCCATCCTGGGATGTGCCTCCCGGTACATTCTTCCCTCCCACAGGGCCCAGGGGACTAGCCAGTCGCTGCTGCTGTCAGTCGCTCTGTCTCTTACGGTTTTCCCCTCTCCAAGGACAGAGCAGACTGTATTTCCACCACGTGAATTTGCCCTTTACAGTTTGCAGAACAATTTGACATTTATTAGCCCTCTTGATTCTCACATCACAAATGAAACCTGGGCCACTCGGACAGATTACTTAATTTTAAATACTGACTCTTCCATTTCTGACCATGTGAACTTGGGTGAGTTACCCGAGATCTTTCTATGCTCCAATTTCTGCATCTTATAATGTGGTAATAATGATACATCTACCACATAGGGATACTGAGGTAGCTACTGCATGTAAATAAGGTATAAGTTAATACGTCCAAAATGCTTAGAAAAGTGCCTGGCATGCAGTAAGCATTTCTATAAATATTAGCTATCACCAGCTCTTAGTTTTACAGATAAGAAACCACTACTCAGAAGAGTTAAATGGGCCAGGCATGATGACTCACACTTGTGATCCCAGCACTTTGGGAAACTGAGGCAGGAGGATCACTCAAGCACAGAAGCTCAAGATCAGCGTGGGCAGCACAGGGAGATCCCATCTTTACAAAAACTAAAAAAGTTAGCTGGGCATGGTGACACACACCTGTAGTCCTAGCCACCTGGGAGGCTGAGGTGGAAGGATAGCTTGAGCCTGGGAGGCTGAGGCTGCAGTGAGCCATGAGCTTGCCATTGCATCACTCCAACATGGGGCACAGATTGAGACCCTGTCCCCCGACCCAAAAAAGAAGAAGAGTTAAATGGCTTGTCCCCAAATTACAGAGCTAGAAAGTGATAAAGAATGGTAATGTTCAAAAGTGTGTCTTCTATCTCAGGGTCCCTCCCAGTTTGAAGAGGAAGTCAGTCAGGGCTCATCCTCTGTTATCTGTGTCTGTGTCTGGCAGAGCCCAGGACTTTGGAGGTTGGCCCTTAGAAAAGAGGTTGGTGGGGCCAGGCGCAGTGGTTCAGGCCTGTAATCCCAGCACTTTGGGGGTGCCAAGGAGGGTGGATCACCTGAGGTCAGGAGTTCGAGACCAGCCTGACCAACATGGCGAAATCCTATTTCTACTAAAGATACAAAAAGTTAGCCGGGCGTGGTGGCAGGTGCCTGTAATCCCAGCAGCTTGGGAGGCTGAGGCAGGAGAATTGCTTGAACCCTGAGGCGGAGGTTGCAGTGAGCCGAGATTGTGCCATTGCACTCCAGCCTGGGTGACTAGAGCGAAACTCCATCTCAAAAAAAAAAAAAAAAAAAAGAAAAGAAAAGAGGTTGGCGGAAGGCAGACAGCACAAGGCAATTAGATTTAAACTCAAGAAGAGACTTGCAGAGAGGACTGTAGATTGTTCTTGGTTTTGGTTTTATTTTTCTGATTATAAAAGCAAATACTCACTGCTGAAAATCTGGGGAAATACAGAAAAGTACACAGAGAAAAACCTACTCATAATTCCATCATTCTGACACAGTCATTATTAACCTTTTTGTGCATATTCCTTATATATTAATGTAACACTTATAATATATATTAATGTAACACTATAATATGAATATATCTTGTGTCAATAAATATCCTCCTATGAAGGTTTTTGTTCTCACTTTGTGATTCTCTTCCAGGGCCTGTGGAAGTCAAAGTTTAGCCCTGAGAACACAAGGATGGAACCGTTCTACAAGGCTGATGGAGAGTCGTGTTCAGCGTCTATGATGTACCAGGAAGGCAAGTTCTGTTATCGGCGCGTGGCTGAAGGCACCCAGGTGCTTGAGTTGCCCTTCAAGGGTGATGACATCACCATGGTGCTCATCCTGCCCAAGCCTGAGAAGAGCCTGACCAAGGTGGAGCAGGAACTCACCCCAGAGGTGCTGCAGGAGTGGCTGGATGAGTTGGAGGAGATGATGCTGGTGGTTCACATGCCCCGCTTCCGCATTGAGGACGGCTTCAGTTTGAAGGAGCAGCTGCAAGACATGGGCCTTGTCGATCTGTTCAGCCCTGAAAAGTCCAAACTCCCAGGTTTGTCTAGGAAGGAGTTTCCTCCCTGCTCTACCCACAAGGTAGTCTGACCGAAAGTGGAAGAGTTGGAGAAAGAATAGAAAGGAGCAACAAGTCAGGACTCCTGGATTCTGATCCTAGTTTCTACTGCTCACTTGTGGACATCTCTTTTCCTTTTGAGGCCTCCGTTTCCTCTTCTGTAAAAGGGAAGTTTGTTCTTGGATCTCCATGGGCCCAGCCATCACTGGTGCCCTGTGAGTCTGTATCAGGTACAGGAGACAGGACCAGGTGGAGAGGAATTTGAAAGGGCATTGGAATTCAGAGCAAAGACACAGATATTAAGAGCTGGGGAAATTTGGTTCCCATTACACAGGCCTCACTGACGTTTATTATTATTATTATTATTTGAGACAGAGTCTCACTCTGTTGTCCAGGCTGGAGTGCAGCAGTGTGATCTCGGCTCACTACAACCTCTGCCTCCCGGGTTCAAGCAATTCTCATGCCTCAGCCTTCTGAGTAGCTGGGATTACAGGCGTGTGCCACCACGCCTGGCTAATTTCTGTGTTCTTAGTAGAGACGGGGTTTTACCATGTTGGCCAGGATGGTCTTGAACTCTTGACCTTGTGATCTACCTGCCTCGGCTTCCCAAAGTGGTGGGATTACAGGCATTAGCCATGGCGCCCGGCGCATTAAAGTATCTTTTAAAGAAGTTGGCTGGCCACGGTGGCTCACACCTGTAATCCCAGCACTTTGGGAGGCCGAGGTGGGAGGATCGTCTAAGCCCACGAGTTTGAGACCAGCCTGGACAACATAGTGAGGATGGTCTCTACAAGAAGTAAAAAAAATTATCCAGGCACGGTGGTGCACACCTGTAGTCCTAGCTTCTTGGGAGGTGGAGCTGGGAGGATTGCCTGAGCCTGGGAGGTCAACGCTGTAGTGTACTGTGATCACACCACTGCTTTCCAGCCTGAGCAACAGAGTGAGGCCCTATCGCTAAATAAATAAATAATATAATATAATAAGCTTCTGATGTTAAGTAATTAGATTTATCTTTTTTTTTTTTTTTGAGATGAAGCCTCACTCTTGTCCCCCAGGCTGGAGTGCAGTGGTGTAATCTCAGCTCACTGCAACCTCCGCCTCCTGGGTTCAAGTGATTCTCCTGCCTCAGCCTCCCAAGGAGCTGGGATTACAGGCGCCTGCCACCATGCCAGGCTAATTTTTGTATTTTTAGTAGAGACAGGGTTTCACCATGTTGGCCAGGCTGGTCTTGAACTCCTAACCTCAGGTGATCTACCCGCCTCGGCCTCCCAAAGTGCTAGGATTACAGCTGTGAGTCACTGCGCTATTGGGCTCTCTCTAAGCTAGTTTAGAAAACTAAAAATGTTGCCAGACTGGAAAGAAAGATGTTCCTTCTGGATGGAGTGAGTTTTTTTCTGTAAGAAAAGAGTCTTGCCCTTTCTCTCTCCCACAAAGAGCTGAAGCCTGAGAATGAATTATCAGGAGCCACACTGAACAAGCCCAAAGTAGTTTATTATTATTATTATTCTTGTTTTTTGAGATGGAGTTTTGCTCTTGTTGTCCAGGCTGGAGTGCAGTGGCGCGATCTTGGCACATTGCAACCTCCGCCTCCCAAATTCAAGCGATTCTCCTGCCTCAGTCTCCCAAGTAGCTGGGATTACAGGCATTCGCCACCACACCTGGCTAATTTTTGTATTTTCATGGTAGAGACAGGGTTTCATCATATTAGTCAGAGTGTCTCAAACTCCTGACTGCAGGTGATCTGTACGCCTTGGCCTCCCAAAGTGCTGGGATGACAGGTGTGAGCCACTGCACCTGGCCCCCAAAGTACTTTATTATTTTTAACACATATTCATTGTGAGAGTATGATTAGGTGAATATTTAGGATTTCTTCTTATGTTTCAAAAAGCCCCAAAGGATCTCTTAATTCAAACTGAATTCCCATCTGTGAGTTGAAGCCAACTTTCTCCCATCTCACAAAGCCTTCTCCGGCCTTCCTTCCAGGTATTGTTGCAGAAGGCCGGGATGACCTCTATGTCTCCGATGCATTCCATAAGGCATTTCTTGAGGTGAGTACACCTCCCGACTCTCTCTTCCTATGCTACTTTTCTGCCACTTTATTATCCAGTATTTCATGTGATTTCTAACTCTGGAGTTCTTGCTCCACGAGCTCTTAGGGTACAGACAGGAGATGCATGAACAACAGAACACACATGTGGAAAAGGCCTGTTTCCAGCGTTAAGGCCTGCAAAAGGCCTCCACAAGGCCTGCTATAATACAGCCCTCCCCGAAACCCTCATGGTGTGATTGTTCTGCCTTCCCTCCCACTACCTCTTCTGCAGCAGGTCAAGCGGGAACACAAATATTTAGGAGGGTGATATAGGAAAAGAAGCCAGCAAAGCTCATCGAGAAGGAATTTACAGGATGGGGGTCGCAGAAACCCAGGGAGAAGGTTTTTTTTTTGAGACGGAGCTTCGTTCGCTCTTTGCCCAGGCTAGAGTGCAATGGCGCGAGAGCTCACTGCAACTTCTGCCTCCCGGTTCAAGCGATTCTCCTGCCTCAGCCTCCTGAGTAGCTGGGATGACAGGCATGCACCACCATGCCTGGCTAATTTTTGTATTTTTAGTATAGACAGGGTTTCTCCATGTTGGTCAGGCAGGTCTTGAACTCCCGACCTCAGGTGATCCACCTCCTTGGCACCCCCAAAATGCTGGGATTACAAGCATGAACCACTGCACCCAGCCAACCCAAGGAGAAGTTTTAAGAAAATGGATAGCATCTAGTAAGAAGACTCCAGGGCTGGGCATGATGGTTCACACCTGTAACCCCAGTACCTTGGGAGGGTGAGATGGAAGGATCACTTGAGCCCAGGAATTCGCAACCAGTCTGGGCAACATAGTGAGACCTTGTCTCTACCAAAAAGTCTTAAAAAAAATAAAAAGTTTGGAGACTGCCCATAGTTTACCTTTCCCTGACGACAGAATAGTGTGATCACATGCCTAATTGTAATGGATGAAGAGCAAATGGAAGGTAAGAAAGGGAAGCTGGTGAGTGTGCATCAGTGTCTTAAAGTGTGCTCCAGACAACTAGAGCACTAGACTACACTGGAGGCAATGAAAAGGTGGTCAAATAAATGTATATCCTCTCGTGAGAGATGAACAGTACACACTGGCAGGCTGAGGTCTGAGACGTCCCACAGTAAAGAAAACGGTTGAACATCACTTAACCTAGTGTTCCCCCAGCTGAGGTGTGCATGGAACCCTGTGTTAGAGTAACAGCTGTGTACAGCCTGTGGAACTTCTGGTTCTAGTTGTTCTCAAGCAAACACTAAACTATGGACCAACAGCAGCAGTCATCTGGGGAGCTTTATCTTTGGAGATTCTGGGATGGGCCCTGAGAATCCGTGTATGTACTAAACTCCTCAGGGGATTCTTATGCACAATGAGATTTGGGAACCACTGGTATAGACTATTCTTTGCGGGAGCCAGGCTGTGAGGGAAAGGAGATGGGACGATGGTAGAGAAGTTTCTAGAATTGAAGAAATCGAAAAGAATGAAGGTTGTAGTCAAAGAGAAAGGTTTCGGAGGATGGTGCTAGTAAATATAGAGCCAGGGATCAAGCTCAGTAGGAAATGCCTGGTTCAGAGGAAAGTGGAATTTCAACGGGAGTGAGGAAATGTGGTAACTTGAAAGAACACAAGGTTATAGTCTGAGAAAAGGATGCTATTATAATTTCAAAGGTAGAGCAGTTCTGAGATGGCAAGTCCAGGGTGTAGCCATGGACAGGTTTGCTTACGTGGTAATGCTCATTAGGTGTGACGAGATGAAAGAAATGGGAGGCTACGGTGTTGAATGGGTCTCCTACCGAGATTTTTTTTTCTTTTTTTTCATTGAGATGGAGTTTTGCTCTGTCGCCCAGGCTGGAGTGCAGTGGCATGATCTCAGTTCACTGCAACCTCCGCCTCCTGGGTTCAATGGTCTCAAACTCCTGACCTCAAGTGATCCACCTGACTCGGCCTCCCAAAGTGCTGGGATTACAGGCGTGGGCCACCGTGCCCAGCCTATTGCGATAATTTGTCTCAAATGATAGCAGGAGTTGGGGTGGACAGAAAGGCTATGTGCAAAAATCCTCATTGTGGGCATATAATCTATAAGACAATGAATGTCAACGACCTTTAAGACAATAGCAAGAGTAGAGGTATTGAGATCAGAACAAGGGATTTTACCAGTGCTGCATTAATGGTTTTGGAAGTTAAGATGACACTGCTCACACCCTCTTTCATATGGATTTTTGGAAGAAAGAAAGGAAGACTGCAAGGGAAATTGAGTCCTCAGGGTTTTAACTCTCATTGAATATCCCCTTGTAAGGACTCCAATTAGAAGTGTCAACTCAGACCTCGAGGGGCTTGAGTTACTATTAGGAAGAAGCAGAGGTCTGGATTCATTTTATCCACCTGAGCCCAGTACACAATGATGTAGATTTTTCTGTGGTTCTCACAACAAAGCCATTTTCTTTGAAAACCCTGGGAACCCTTAATAAACCCAACTAATTGTAGATCTGAGAAGCCATTAAAAACCAGACCTGATTTGAATAAAAGGATCCTGGTCATGCAAACACTCTAGAGTCTGCTAATAAACTTAGTCCTTGAATGAGCATGAAATAGACACTATTGGGAGAGAGAGGGTAAGGGAGGGAGAAACAAAGGAAGCGGAAGGAAGAGTGAGAGGGAAGGAGAAGACATCATTAACTAGCTCCAGAAAACCCAGGCAGCTGGTTAATCATGTGCTTTCATAAGAGCAGAAACAGAGTTCTAGTGATATTCTGGGTCCTGAGGCAAAATTTTCTGAAGGTGTTTCCCTCTAGACCTGCTTATCAACCATATTCAAATACCACTGTTTCAGTCTGTTACTCCAAAAAAATGGCATCTCGTCCAGCCAGACAACCCACCTCTTTTCACAGGCCCGAGGTCCTGAGTGGCTCTTTGGAGTAGCTGTATCTTGGATCTTGATGCTCCAAGAGTGAAACAGTTTCAACTATGGAGTTCAGATCTTGAGCCAAAAATCTTTCAGCAGCTGGTACAAAAAAATCTGCTGTAAAACCATTTACAATGGTACCAGCCAGAAATGTGATAACTTGTGTACATTCAGATTTCTGGGTTACCTTAATGGAACTCTTACACTTACTACCTAGCACAAGGCTTGGACAAACACAAGTACCTTACATTATCTGCATAAAAGAATGAGTAGAAGTAGAATTCTGGAGGGAATCCAACCTGACCCAAATGTACTTTTTACTGGAAAACAAAAGCATTTGAGGAAATGCTGTGTCTGTGGATGATTTACCTGCCAATAATGAACGGCAGAGTAAATAATGTAGTTTTATTTCCCATGTGACCTGCAGGTAAATGAAGAAGGCAGTGAAGCAGCTGCAAGTACCGCCATTGGGATTGCTGGCCGTTCGCTAAACCCCAACAGGGTGACCTTCAAGGCCAACAGGCCTTTCCTGGTTTTTATAAGAGAAGTTCCTCTGAACACTATTATCTTCATGGGCAGAGTAGCCAACCCTTGTGTGAGCTAAACTGTTCTTATTCTTTGTACCTCTTCCTATTTTGGTTTGTGAATAGAAGTAAAAATAAATACAACTACTCCCATCTTACATTATAAATGGACTCTGCATCTTAAATGAAGACAAGGAAAGGGGAAACATGCTATTGGGGCATTTGGTAAAATGATGCCTTCAAGTTGTTCTTTGCCCAGTAACCACATCTGGATCAAGAAAATGAGGGAGACAGCGATGAAAGATGGTAGACAGCCAGAAAGGAATGGGAGAGTGAATTCTCAGGATTTCCACGACACTAAAAAATATCAATAAAAACAAATTTAAACAAATTGTTTCTATATATGGAAAAGACAGATTCAAACCTGAGTATTAAACCATTTAATTCTCAAACCACTCACATGCATAATGTTCTTTTACACAGTGTTAAAATAAAGAGGAAAATGCATTTTTATACAAACAGAATTTCAAGTATACATTAATAGACTTTTCAGATTACTAACCAAGTTGCTAAGATTTCATTCACATTGTTCTTAAAGCTGTTCAACGAGAAAGCTTTTGCTAAACTGTTTTAAATATGTTTATATAAACCCATATTTTCACTCTTTCTTTGAATCTCCCTCCCCCAACCCGAGTCTCTGCCCACCCTCCTGCCCTCCCCCCTTCCCCGACACGACAGGGGTCCTGGGGCTCTAGGAGACATGCAACCCCACCAAGAACTATTGGCTCGTCATCAGGGGAAGGACAGAATCTTACAGGAGGAGAGACTGAGAACATCTGTCAAATGCAGGGAGAACAAATCTGATACTTAGAAATGACACAAATCAGGACCATATTTTAGATCTTTGTGTTTTCACTTGATTTTTAATTTAAAAAATCTCAGCCTCCCACAAAACACCACCAAAGTTTCTGATAAATTGCTAGCTGTGAAAATGATCTTAGATAGTTTTTCCTCAGTGAAACTTCCAAAATCAGGACAGGTACTTAGAAATCTTTTTTGATTTGGTGGTTCTTTTCCCCTTTGGCATGGAGTGGGGGCCACTTAAAAGTGGATGCTATTACTTGTGTGTTTACATTAAGAAATTTGGTTAATTTCACAGGGTCTGGCAAGAGTTCTCCCTCCTTAACTCTCCTCCTGAAGTAATCTGGCTTCAGGGCCAGGAACAGCCACTCTCCTTAGGAATTAAAGTGCATTTTTTTTCAGTAAAGGAAAAGAGGGGGAGGTGGTGGTTTACACTTAAGTGATAATGATTAAAGTAGGGTTGGGTGAGAGAAAATCCTACTCCTATATATAGGTATTTATAATTAAGGTCATAATAAAAACTGATATTCTTAGGAAATAAGATGCACAAAGCCAGTCTAGCACCCTCAGTGGTGCAAGAGCACTATCCTGGTTCACTGACTTTTCCGCGGCATCTTTACTATTAATGGAGTAACTGCTTCAGATGAAAGACACAAATTTCAAACATTAGTTTTTTCAAAGGGAAAAAACAGACTGGTAGGTTCTTATAGCTAAAAATACTCTATTCCATTCCCTTTCAGGGATAACATTTTAGAAACTGATTGTCTGTTTTAATATGAATCCTCCTTGATTAGCAAGTTGTAAAAAATGTTAGATAAATTTGTTGCTTACAAATATTATGGTAGCCTTTAAAAACTTAGGAAGAGGTGGGCGTAGTTGATCCTTGCTATCAATCAATATCAACTGAGAGGAAGTGAAATTTTCCTATCATCTCTTTATTTGATCGCTACCATCAGAATCTTATTTTCTGACTAGTTTAAATGCTTTACAATTTCTTCTTGGGTTAAAAACCCAAGAGTTTCCCATAAAGAAGTAAATGCTACATTAACAGCTATACAAAGACGTGATGGGCTCAAGATGAAAAGGGGGATTTTGTCCTGGATTCTGGCCTCTGAGTCCAGTGTGATTTGCTTTTCACAGTGACCAGTGGGAAGGCACAGTGCCAGGGACAGGTAGATGGGGACAGCTGTCACCCATCATGTAAGCACCATAGAGAACAGTTGGATAGATTTCTTTCAGACTATGTCCATCTGAAGGAAATCAAATTTCTGCTACATTGACTTTTCTATATTTGAACCCTCAGCCTTTTCTTCTTTCAGAGGCAGAGCAGAGCGGGTCCCCTTCAGAAATTATGAGGAGCCTGGAAACCTAATGTTCTTCCAATGTACTCATTTAGAAAGAAATGCCAAAAATAAGAGTTCTAGGCCAAGCACAGTGGCTCACACCTATAACTCTGGGAGTCCTAGGTGGGAGGATCACTTGAGCCCAGGAGTTTGAGACCAGCCTGGGCAACATAGTGAGACTCTGTCTCTAAAAGAAAATAGAAAATTTAGCTGGGTGTGGTGGCACGTGCCTGTATTCCAGCTACTTGGGAGGCTGAGGCAGGAGGATAGAGTCTGGTAGGTGGAGGCTGCAGTGAGTTATAAGTGTGCCACTGCACTCCACCCTGGGTGACAGATCAAGACCCTGTCTCAAAAAAAAAAAAAAGTTCTAACTTTAAGGTTTCTTAAAGGGAAGGAAGCCATTAGTTCCTGATGTTCTGCTATCAGATCACAAAATAATGCAATGTGCTAAAACTGTGAACACAGATCATAGCAGATGAAAAATTAATGGACTGAGATAGAACACATTTCTTTTGCCTATAGTTTGGGAATGCTTTTCTTTTGTTGAGAGTAGGGGGATGGAGCAGGGTGGTGAAACAGTACTCAAACTAACGTTTGTTTTAGAAAGGATTTCCTAGAGGTTTAAGAGGAATCAGCAAGCCAACCCATGAGGCCGAACTTGACCAAACTTCACAGTGCTGAGAGGGAATTCCTGCGAGGGAATTTGTTTCATTCCTTGCTTAAAATATAGTACAAGTTTACGTATTTATCTTTTGTCATTACTTCCCCATTCTCCTCTACTCTCTCCCCCATAAAATCTTAAAATCCAGTGCAGTATAATTTGCATAAAGTTCAACAATGTTTCACAGTACTCCGCAAGGTTCTTCAGTATGAAAACCCTAAGGGGGCTACTCTCTTTGGAGTCTCAAAGGCTACTGCTTTTCTATTCCACCAGTAACAGGGAGCCTTCAGCAAATTTTCTAAGGCATAAGAGGCATTTTCTCTGACACTGCAGCACTTACATGCTAAGCAAACACCCAGGCCTTAGTGCTACTTTAATGAAATTTCAGACTGATGCTAATTCAGCCCTCTGCACTAACCAACTTTCTCCTTGACCTACTTTTTCTCTTTGCACATATTACCTACTGAAGTTCAAATTACCAATTACTTGTAGGCAATATATAAGTGAAACTTTCTGTGGTATCCAGAATACTCTCAGAAGAGAGACTACTACATTTGAACTTGCTCTTAAATACAAATTTTCTTCATGAGTTAGAAGTCTCTTGGTAGCTAGTTAGTTTGAACAGTGGTTCTCACTTTTTTAGGGTAATAAAACAATTCTCCCCTCTCTATTACCATGTGTGAGGTTGCCATGGGCAAGTAACAAACCCATTGAAACACCTTTACTACCCTGGATGAGAAGAATGAATCTGGAACCTCATTTGGGAAGTACTTGGTTAGGTCTTTGACATTCCAGAACAAAGATCCTAAAATGACTCATTTCATATTTCATATATTATTCAGAAATACTTAAGCCTTAGCTAGTTCATTTCATTCACAAAAAAACAAGCCAAGAAAAGTGAAGTGAACTGACACTGAAATCCCACTTAGAAGACAGGCTAAGAGACAAATAATCAAACATATTACCATCACCCCAAGCAGGATCCTTCCTTTTCTCCGTTAACAATGCTACCTGTTTATTTTACAAATAGAAATTGCTGTAAGCAGTTTGGGATATTTTAATAAATTCAAGTTCTCCATTTCAGCTAGTTGAGAAATCTCCACTGAAATTACATATGGAAAGGAACAAGAATTCTAGAGAAGGATCTTTGAAAATTTGTTTTGCTTACTTATGTGTACTTTGTATTTGGTATAGAGAGGAAACTGGACGGATGACAGTATCTCCCTCCAGAATTACTCTGAGGACAAATGGATGATCCATTTTACTACCTAAGCCTTGGCCCACTGTACACTTTGAATTGAGAGCCTTGCATGGAATATCAATAAAGATATTTTCAGGTCAAAGAGAACTGCATTGATGTTATCCTGCTAAAGACCATTAGGGATTTCATAGGGAGCGATTCTCAACCTTGGCTGCATATTAGAATCATCTAAAGCCCAGGTAGCACAACAGACCAATAAAATGTAAATGTCTAGAGGGGGTCCTATACAATTCTAATGTGCAACCAATATGAAGAACTGGGTCAACTAGTCCCATAAGGCCGTTGTTCATCCAAGCCAGACAGAGAAAAGGTAAGACTTCATGGCTTCTGTCCAGATTTATGGGTTTAGCATGCTGCAATCAAACTACCTAGGCATTTTTTCACTTTCTTTCTAAATAAATAACTGGCAGCAACACCAATAGTAAAGTATTGATTTAGGAAAGAAGACTGCACCTTAAGTATGTGTTATAGCAAAAGATCAGGGGACAGGCCTAGGACAAAACTCTGGGCACAAACAAAAGATAAGCCAGAAGAAAAAATTTTCCTAAGCAGGAATTAATTCCTGGGTCTAGGATATTCGCATGGCTTTATAGGCAGAGAACTATGCTACAGTTAGGAAAAAAAAAAAATAGTCATGGTAAAAAGATTCATGTAATTTTACCACTTTATCTCCCTACAAGATTCTTACTGCATTTGGGCAGAAATTACTGCATCAGTTGTCATTTGTGAGTAATGCTGGTCTTATTATCTGGAATTTCACATTCTCTGTATCTCCACTTGCCCTATCCAAAGTCACCAGGAAACTAAATACTTATCAGCTAGTACCTAAAATATGGGAGCCAACCTCTAAAAATCTGAAAATGGATCACTCTCTCATTTCAGTTCTAACCAGAGAATCCCTGTTTAGACATTTAGACAATATAATCCGTGTATTAAGGTGAAAAGCATTTCCACAAGGTAGAAAGCATTCTAGGATATCAAAGGACCAACAGTTCCTCCTTAGCTGTAAGAAATATTAGAAAGGTGGGCAAGTTGAC